AAAAATCATGCATTCTTTCAAATGATTAATGCGCAGTACCATGCCAAAATATCTATATATAATCAGTTTACTTTATACAGAATATTTCTAATAATTAAATTATTAAGTTCAATTTGACAAATCAAATATTATCTTGATTCTGTTTTAATTTATAATCGCTAATAAACTATGTAATCTATAATTTTATTTATATACTTACTGGAATAATTAGATATAAGACATCCAGGCTGAATAACTCCACCATTGCAATAAAAATCTATATCTCCAACTGGTAAAATTTTCCCTGCTAATCCTGTATTTGTGTGAATGCTATCGACAAACTCAGCATCGTCCTTGCTAAGTTCTCGACCATTTTCTTTAAGATAGAACAATGGTAAAGCTGGATCTAATCCTGCAGCAAAAAACGAATTAATTAGATCCGTTTATAAAGAAATATATTTTCATCATTATCCTTATTAAATTCTATGTGATATACTTTTTGATAAAATATAATTATCTTGTTTCATACCTGATATATTTTCCATAATAACATATTTAATAATAAAAAATTCTTATTCTAGAGATATAATTTTCTGAATATGCTCATGGCATTAATAATCCATATCAATTTAACGTTTCATATTAAAATTGTATTTATCACCTGTTACTCTTGGAAGTTTTCCAGACTTCATATACTTTTGAATAAACCCTGCCACATGAGCGCCTAATGAAAATCCTAAAAAAAATAATAAAGCAGAATTATGAGTGATATTCCAGAGAAATTCATATGATGTGAAATCTGTGACTTATATACAATATTTATAAAGTGATAAATAAGATATTGAATAAAAAAAACAAATTCGTTTTGTAAGAAAATTATGTAGAGCTCATTAGAAAAAAAAAATTGATAAAATTTCCAATTATCTAGAAATTAAATTATGTGGCTACATGAAGAATGAATTTAAATATTAACTAACCGATAATATGTAATTGACTTAATTCTATTTTTCCAGCAGCAATTCCAGCTTCCAAAACATCAGCAATGCAATGTCCAACTGTCTCTAAATTTACGACAGCTTGAAGATAACATCCTTCTTCCACAAGTGGATGATAATCCAAACTAATGATATTCATATCACCAACAGAAAAATAAGCTGAAAAATATAAATGTTATAAGTAATTAAATATTTAAATTAGAGTTGCTATATTGATACAAACTAAAACATCAATGCAACAACCACATAGAATAAATTTAAAATATTGCAAAACTGAAATGAGAATATGCAAATAAAATGTTTGGCAATGTTAAAGAAAAAAATGGTACACAAAGTTTTTTTTGTTAATTATACCTGGTCTAATTTCCGTATTTGGAGAATAGTCACGATGTCCAGTGTAACCATGAATCAACACTTTTATTGGAAGATTTTTATCTATCGGTGCATCTTTTATGGAATTGATGTCAAGTATATATGGAAAATCTTGAATATCCCTGCAATAATTTAAATATCATTTAAAGTGTCATCCTGGATTTGGAAACCAAAATGAATATTTGTAAATTATATAATGGTGTGAACTTTTGAGGGTAATAAATTTACTAAGAATACATTTTAGTTGATGAATAAAATATTGATCTTCAACTAGTGTAGATATGTAGTTACATATATCATGTTCTTATTGAAAAAAATTAAGAACTATTTTGCAAAACTAGTTCAGTTTATAATTACTACATTTATTTTATTTTTTACTTACTCTCTATATAAATATAGTGTGATATTTTCATTTGGACATTCGTTTTTAACTGTAAAGCACTTTGAACTAAATGGTGACAAAAAAAATCGAGCTTCGGGATCTTCTTGAGTTTCACTTGAGACAAAGTGCAATAGAAAGCCTAAAAAACAAGCTCACAAAATGAAGAAAAAATATTATAATTTTTTAAATATTAGAGCAAATATTAATGTTACATATTAAAATAAAATTTACACACATTTTAAGTTATTTATTTCACATATAAAGTTATGAATAATTTATTTTATTATTTTTTTTGGTTCGTGAGATAAATCATAGGTAATCACTTATAAAGACATTAACTTTTTCAGTTTAAATTAAATTAGTATGATATAACCTTGCCATATTATTTCAATTCTAATAGCATCGAAAACTGTATAATATTATATCGTTAGCGTCATATCAACATGCAATTTATGGATATATTTTACTTATTCTATGCAAATTTTGCAATAACAAAAACATCATACGACAATCATTATATTATATATATATATATATTTATATATATATATATATATATATATATATATATATATATATAAAAGCTCCACAAGCTTAAATAATATCATTAATATAATTTATACAATTATGAATAAATGAAGAATTCAAATCCTTGTAATATTTGTTTTGATCATTGTAAAAGCGTCTATTTAGATAGTATTGCCATTATATACGTGTGTCGTGTCTAATTTACTACTAATTATTCCTGTTGACAAGGCAAGTAAAGATAAAATATGTAAATAAATAATAAATCTTAAGGTGCATTGACTATTCCCTTGACTGAGGACAAGGTTTAAGGACAAAAGCTTGCCTTCGAACTTATAAGACATAATTAAAGTTTATAATAGATTTCTTAGGAATTTTGTTTTAAATTATTTCTTGCTTTTAATTTCTCAGGATTTATGTATAAGATAAACGCTGCATTAAATCTTTAGAAGATCAAATTAAAATACATCGATACGTGAATTCTAAAAAAAGTTGATTTAAGTAATCCCTCTGAGAAAGAAAAATATTATTTTAAATTAGTTTCTACTTCTAATAATGCAGATGTAATTTTGAAACATAAATCTCACAATTCCGATTGTTTTAATTACACGATAAAGCTCTACTTACATATAAATAAACATTTTCTTATATTACACATTATAAATAACAAAGTTTCCCAAGGATTTCCAAAAAATTACGTGTAATAATCAAAAATTTAGTTAGATCACTACCAATGATTTTTACTCTATGATCAAAAAAATTTTTTTTAATCACATACCAGTACAAACTAGGAAAACTTGAGTCCACCGCATCGCGTACATTTTCCGGCGGTTTTTCGCAAACGACTAAAAAATCTTATTGAAAACAACCTCAAGTTAAATTAACGTCACTATAAATAACTCGTGGTTCTGATAAAATACCGATAATAACAGAAGTTTATAAATTTGAATACTCATTACCATAAATGACTAAAACACCTGTCGAAAGACCAAAGGTAATAATTTAATGAATTGATATAAAATATAGTAATTTTTCTATTTATTTTCTAAAATTCTGGAAGCGCAATGTTGCCTCCTAACTTACTAATAAATATGGCAAATTACTCTAATATATATTTTAAATTGATATTTTAGTTGAAATCAAAGATATACCTGTAATATCATTATAATAAATAGTAATAAATATTATAATGCACATAAATTGTGAAATTTCTTTGTTAAGTGCATTTTTCCTTAATCTTAACAGACTATTAAAACGCAATTTATCTGGAATACTGATAATTCATTTACCTAGTTTAAACTTTAAATGTTTTCATATTAATGAATACTTTCAGATATCGGAGCAATAATTATTTTAAATTTAATTTTCACACATTTCGAGCAATCTAAAGCACATAAAACGCTTGAATAATATTATAATTATTCGGGTCATAAAGTATAATTTTTACCATTATCTGCCCTAAGAGACAGTGATTTATTGAATTTTGATAAAAATTACACCTGGAAATTTACCTCATTAAAGGTTTATCTTATTAAGAATTTCATATCCATTATGCAAATTTTGGTCAAAATTCGATTTCAGGTTTTTGTAAACAGTGCAAATGCAGTTTTGTGATAAAACATTAAGTGTATTTATATATTTTTGTTTGTATATCGTGTGATAATTATTTAAATCATTTGGATGATATGAAAATATGATTTATTCATATATTTTATATCTTAGTATAATTGTTATAAACAGGGTATATTATATATATATATATATATATATATATATATATATATATATATATATATATATATACAGGGCTCGTCCTACCTTGAATGCGATACATGCGAAAAATGCGGGCGCACGCCTTAGGGGGCGCCAACACTAGATTCATATATGAAACTTATAATATATTTTTAACTTCCCGTAGGGTAAGTTGTACTAATCGCAAAAAAGTCGAAAATGAAAATTTGTATATATCTTTACGTTTCAAAGATTTCTGAATATTTTGGCATACCTTAGAAAAAATAGATGTATGTGTGTGTATGTGTGTATGTGTGTGTGCGGATACAAATTTTCGTCGACGATTTTGGGAACACTGATCAACCGATTTGAATAATTCAAAAAACATTCGATTTGTATTGATAAGGTGACGTGCTGATTAGTTTTTGGCAAAGGCAGGTCCGAAGATACAGAGCAAGAAGTTCCAAAAACGGTAAGTCTGTTTTTAAGAGAACGGAGCGTCCAATTTTAATAATTCGAAAAACATTTTACTTGTATTGACAAGATGAAGAACTGATTAAATTTTTGGTAATGCAGGTGCAGCAGTTATTGACTCTCAATGAAAATAATTTATAAAAATGTGATTTGGCGGTCAAAAATGTTTATTGGACCTATGTACATCAAATTATCAGATTATAGAGATTTTAATAATCTGTACATATTTTGTGTAAATTTTGTTGGGTTCCGTGCCAAGATTTTTACGTTACAAAAAGTTCCAGCAATTGCCTCAACATAATATAATATCACCCACACTGGTATAATAATAAATAACTGTTAAAACAATCAACATAATAAGGAGGAGGGCGCTAGAAAAAAATGGCATGCGGAAAAAATGCAATGAAGACCACTGGACCGGTCCTGTATATATATATTATTATTATTACTGAACCAGAAACCTAATATAAGAACCTTTATGGATGAATCAAATCTAAGGTTAAGCTTTTAACGAAAAGATGGCACTGCAAAACATAACCTAACGAAAGTGATGACAGTCATTGACTTACGTGTACTGTTTTCATATTTGACATTAACGAAGCTTTAAATATACTACAACACATTAAGAAATACAGAATAATAACAAATAAAGATGGTGACATTAAAAGAAAAACAAATAGGTCCTTACTACATGTATTTACATACATATTTTAATCTATATATCATAAGTAACCTCACTTCAATTTTAATAATAATTAAATATTTGCAGGTGCTATAAAGCAGATGCTCAACTTGAATCAAGTTATATCAAAAACAGTACCTGCAGAACCAGTATGGAAAATACTTATTTATGACAGAGTTGGTCAGGATATTATCTCCCCATTGATATCAATTAAAGAACTTCGAGAGATGGGTGTTACTTTACATGTGTAAGTCGGATAAACATAACAGATGAATTATTCTTTATCATTAAAATTTGTATTTGGATCTTCAGAGTAATCAAAGCTTCAATGCTCTAATTTATAATGTATTTACATCTAAAAATATTTTCGAGTATGATTTTCACAACGTTCATAATATAGTATAAATTTTGGACACATTGCTCGTTAAGCCACGAGTTTTCTGCAATGGAACATTGATTTATATTTATGTATATATTTTGTTTTTCAGTCAATTACATTCCGACAGAGATTCCATTCCAGAAGTGCCAGCTATATATTTTTGTGCTCCCACAGAAGAAAACTTAGGACGCATAGGACAAGATTTACAAAACGGATTATATGATACATATCATTTGAACTTCATCTCACCTATTTCAAGAGGCAAATTAGAGGATTTAGCAGCTGCTGCCATTCAGAGTAACAGTGTTGCTAATATCCATAAAGTTTATGATCAATATTTGAATTTTATATCGTTGGAGGAAGATTTATTTATACTGAAACATCAACATAGTGATGCTTTATCATATTATGGTAAAGAATTAAAATTGTTAGTTGTATGCACATTCAAGCTTTGATCTTGTGCTTAATGTATATTTATTTCTAGCAATAAATAGAGGGGAAATCAAAGATAATGAAATGGAAACAATAATGGATTCTATTGTAGATAGCCTTTTTTCAGTATTTGCTACATTGGGAAATGTACCAATAATTCGAAGGTAATTAAGGATATTATTTCACAAATAATATATAACTAGTATTATTTGATTCATAAACTAACAATCCAGCCCGCGAGGAAATGCTGCAGAGATGGTTGCTAAAAAGTTAGAAAAAAAATTACGGGAAAATTTGTGGGATACAAGAAATAATCTATTTCAAATGGACACATCACAAGGAGTTGGAGCATTCAATTTTCAAAGGCCATTATTAATTATTTTAGATAGAAATGTTGATATGGCCACACCATTGCACCATACCTGGACTTACCAAGCTTTGGCACATGATGTGCTAGATTTAGCTTTGAATCGGTTGGTATATTAATAATATTTGGTAATAAATAAATCTTTGCAGCTTTAAATTTCATTGCATTCAATGTGCTTGATATTTATAGAGTTGTTGTAGAAGAAAGTGCTGGTAAATCAGCTTCAGGAGGAGCCAAAGCTAAAACTCGGCCGTGCGATTTAGATTCCAGAGATCGTTTTTGGATGGCTCATAAAGGTAATCCATTTCCCACTGTTGCTGAGGCAATTCAAGAAGAATTAGAAACTTATAGAGCATCAGAAGAAGAAGTAAAAAAACTTAAATCTTCAATGGGTATTGATGGTGAAACAGAAGCTGTATTTTCAATGGTCAATGATAATACTGAGAAATTAACAAATGCTGTTAATTCATTACCACAATTGATGGAAATGAAAAGATTGATCGATATGCATACCACAATAGCAACAGCTATTCTTAATTTTATCAAAAATAGGAGATTGGATTCATTTTTTGAAATAGAAGAAAAAATTATGTCGAAAAGTACTTTGGATAAAAGTATTCTCGAAATATTAACTGATGCTGAATCAGGTTTGCCAGAAGACAAAATGAGACTATTTATAATATATTATATATGTACCCCTCAGATGTCAGAGGCAGAATATAAAAAATATGAAACAGCTCTTATTAATGCTGGTTGCGACATGCAACCGTTGTTGTATATAAAACGATGGAAGTAAGTTTTTCTATAAAAATAAATTCTATAAAGGTAATTTAAATATAATCAATGCTAGATAATAAACAGTATTTGTTTATACTGATTTTTAAATCAAGCACACATATCAACAATTGGCTTTATGAATCATTAAATTTGGTCATTAGTCATCAATGGATTAAAAGAATTAATATTTGAATATACATCATGAGCATGAAATAATCCATTTCAAGTAACAATAACACTTATTACATTTTTAGAAGTCTTACAAAAATGGTAGCAGCACCAAGTCAATATGAAGGCGGTGGTACTAAAACCGTATCTATGTTTTCTAAGTTGGTTTCACAAGGATCATCTTTTGTAATGGAAGGGGTCAAGAATTTAGTTGTTAAAAGACATGTAAGTATTGTCCTAACTGTATATATAAAATGTATCCTAACAATGTAGCTAATAATAATTCCAGCTACATATTTTTTATAAATATGTATTCTAATAAAAACTATTGTAATATGTTTAAATTATAGAACTTACCGGTTACTAGAATTGTTGAGCAGCTTATGGAATGTAGGACTGGTGGAGAAACTGATGATTATCACTATTTAGATCCAAAGTTATTAAAAGGTGGTGAATTTCCAAAAGGTCGAGCTCCATTTCAAGACGCTATTGTGTTTATTGTTGGAGGTGGAAATTATATAGAATACCAAAATTTGGCCGATTTTATTAAGGTATTAAATTTATTTATAACACAATTCACATTTCAAGGTATCACATGCACATTATTTCTTATTGTTATTATTTCATATCATTTGTCCAAATGTATTAACGGCGTATTCTAGTGTAGAAATTCAAAAAAATCATTCTTTTGTTTCATATTTTCAAACTTTGACTGTTTAAGAATATTTGTACAAGAGGATTTTTTAAAATTCAAATTATGTTTGGAGATACAGCTGTTTAACCGTGATAATCCTCTTCGGTCTTCTGTCTTTTGCAAAACTTTAAACACGCTTTTATCAAAACTGTCCTTTTCGATATGATGCCCATGATTTCTCAAGTTTAAATTTTCAGGGAATCTTCTTGTATACATCTCTCTGCATATACTAGCCTTATCCCCAAGTTTAAATTATTATTTGAAAAATTTGGGAAAATCAAAGTGCTAAGAAAAATGGTCAAATTCAAAATTATTATTTAACTTAAACTTTGTATATACTATAGCAACATTATTCTAGATTAAAAATCTTTCCTTTTTTTCACTTCGGATTACTAGAAGAGGTGCAATCGTGGGCATGAACATGTGTCAATTTTTTGGAAGCCCCCCACATTTTTTTCCTGTTTACTTTTTTCTGTACTCTTGTAACATTGATAAATAGATTAATGAAGAAATAATCTTCAATCACCTCTTTTGCACAAAATGCTTTAAAACTGACTTAAAATTCAAGCTCTACACTAGAGTACCCACTTTAACTAAAGAAAATTTTCTTTTGACGATTTATACAAATTAATATTTTATTATTATTATTTCAAGCAAAAGGCTGGTAGCGGTACAACACGAAGAATAATATATGGATCTTCAACTTTAAATAATGCCAAGCAGTTTTTGAAACAACTGTCACTTTTAGGACAAGAAATACAAAAGAGTAAATTAATAGAATAATTGTACATATAGTTAAATTATTGGAATATTTTATAAATATATAATCTATTATTGTTTTTTTAATATATTGTAAGATTTTATTATAATCAAATTTAATCTTTTCACCTTTTCACAAACTTATTTATGTATTTAATATTTATTATGTTTTTTCAGAAACGTTTTTTATGTTTAGGTATTGCCAACTTGAGTATGGATAGGAGTGAAGTTAAGTATGAGTTAGGTACATGACGATCTGACAGATAAAATGGCATCCTGTGCAACAAGTATTTCGTTATTTTTAACCTTAAAACAAAGTGTGATTTAATGTTTTATAAAAAGTGCATATTGCTTAAAAAATTTGGAAGTAAGTTAAAAATTGATTAACTAATGTAGTAATTATAAGTTAAGTCAAAATCTTGCCGACTATAATTGCCAAAGCGGCAATTATATCTGCCGGCGAATCGACATACGCCGCCCTTGAATGGTTGTCAGTAGAATTTGGGCTATGTGTTATATTCGTATCTTTAACTATAGGTCCATTTGCTTTTTCTGCGGCCACTTTTAAAAGATCATTTTCTATGTGAATAATATCTTGTATAGAAGCTTTTTTAATTTTCTGTTCTTCAACGCGTTTTTTATACGCATCGAGTTTTTCAGTGTGTAAGACTTGATTGTCCTGCTTAAGTTTATATGGAGATTTTGCCGCAGCTTCTCGTTTCATAAAGTTGAAATCTTGATCCTCATCGTAATCTTTACGGGCTGGTTTCGAAATTGCATCTTTAATGGCTCTTGGTATTTCATAGATATGTCTAAAATTGTCAAGTCTTTTACATTTTCTTCCTGTAATGTACAAATCAATCTAGAATTAATTAAGGATATACATATTATCCAAAAAGCTGTTGTAAATAACACTCCTAAACATCTAATAAGTATTTCTAACTATTGTTGACATAGTAAGCCTTTTTGTTTTGGTGCATGCACATAAGTAAGGTAGCCATATAGTCCAGTCATTATAGTAAGTTCACCTGGGAATTCAAGATACCCGGCTGTAAGTCTGTAAATACTTATATTTTGCACCCTAAAAGTTGTCTCGAAACCTACATATATTGAGTACACCCTACCATATGTAGGTTTGGGGACAAATTTTAGGGTGCAAAATACAAGTATTTACAGACTTACAGTGATTCTTACCCAATTTAAGCCTAAATGACTGAACTAATATGCAAAACCGAGGCAGGAACTTATAGGGGGGAAAATAAACTAATTAAATAAATTAATAATAATTAAGTAAATTGTTTTTTTAATAAAAATTATACGGGACAAAAAATATTTACATCAGTTTCGCTTTTAAGGAGGTATTCTAGTGTAAAAATTCAAAAAAAACATCGTTTTCTTTTGTTTCATATATTTAAAGTTTAACTGTTTATGAACGTGTACGAGAGGATTTTTCAAAATTCTAATTATTTTCGGAGATATAGCTGTTTTACCATGATAATCTTCTTCTGTTTCCTTCCTTTAAACGCGTTTTTCTTAAAACCATATTTTCCAATACGATGCCCATGATTTTTCGAGTTCTACTGAATCTTTTTACTTGAAATTTTCAGAGAATCTTCTTTATAGACATTTCTCTGGTATATACTAGCCCCATATCCACATTTCAATATTTACTATTTTTTAAAAATTCGAGAATCTCAAAAAGTGATAAGGAAAATGATCCTGCTTCCAAACAGTCATAATTTTATCAAAAATTTATTTTTATCTTAATCCTAGTATATACCATTGCGACATCATTCTAGTCAGTAATCTTTCTTATCATTTCGGATTACTATGAGGGCTACAATCGTGGGCATGATTACGTGCCAATTTTTTGGGTCTTCCATGCTAATTTTATAAATTATAATCTTTTTTTTTTTGTTTTTACTTTTTTTGCACTCTTGTAACTTTGATAAATAAATCATAGAAAAAAATGGTAAAAAAATATTGATGATGTAAAAATTACCTAAAGCAATGTGTAAAATTCTGCTCAATTTGCTTCATAATTATATTTTGCTATTAATATCGCTTTTATTGTGTATCTACTTCAAACACTTTTTTCTGATATGTACAATTCTTTTGATCCATTACTGTTTGAAACATATTTAAAATAAATTATGAAAAATTAGGGACAAACCTAGAAAAAAAATATGAATCCAGAATCGTTTCTAGAAAAATCCGGGACGCAAGATGAATATCTTGGACTGTCCCGGCCAATTCAGCGTTATTTTAACTTTATATTCTTTCTAGTGAAAATCTGCTTGATATCAAGCTGGCCGAACCCAAACCAGTAGTTGTACCAAATTACTACAGAGCCTTGGCAGTTCTTACTGCTCTTTTTTTGTTAATTTAAAATTATTATGTACCTGTGGCATAATACGGTATCTTGTCTGAATTTTTCTGATTTCTGGAACCTCTGTAGGCAATATAAGTGGCATCATTAGCGTAATGTGGGCAGTTGCCAGTCACTACTATCATAGTTTGTTCTTCTGGGGTATGTTTCTTCACATATTTTACAGTTTCAAATAAATCCCTTCAGAAAGAGGAATTAAAATCAGAGTATTATCTAATTTAGTATAATAATTTTATATTTTCTTGATCACTGAATACTCTAGTGGTTATGTAAAGTTATGACCAATAATTACCTGGCATTTTCTGGTCTACCACCTTTTATAACCATCATATACCCATTATCAGAGGCCCTTCGACTTTGGGAGCGGACATTTTTCAAGGTTTCTCGAACCGTATGAAAATAGGATGGTGGAAGTACTTTTCCTATACGGTTCATGTCATATCTTTCCATTTCTCGCATATCATTTGTTACTACCGCTGGCATACCTTAAATATTTGTTTCAATTGATTATTTACTATAGTATATAATCATAAACTCGTATATACAGTAAAATACGCTTAGTAAAGGATAGTCCAAAATTTTGGATATCGGGCGGTAATTAAAAAATTGAGTTGATAATTAAACTACAAAAGCAGTACAAAGTGGTGAGAAATTTTAAAAGGGGCGGCAATAGCGTATGGCAAAACGGTTAATCTGTCTTTGTTTTTCTTGTAACCTTGGCCAGAAACCTTTTTGTCCTATCCCAGTTACCGGAGGTGGTCATTATAACTGAACATATTTTATTTTAATGGGTCATTATAAGCAACATGTCAATCTAAGGAAAGTCAATAATTTGACTGTTTTATTAGAATTTTTTTATGAAAACCAAACTTCGTAGTATGATTACGTCATAATAAATGCTCCGTCAAATTCGGCATCATACTAAGCGAATTCTACTGTATTTAAATATTCCACACAATTAAATATGAATCCAAGTTACAATGTAATTACAGAACTTTTGACAAAAGGTTGTAGTCACTTACCCATTGTACTGATTACTCTATCCATGAAGACTGTCTTATCCAATCAAATATATTATATGGATCATATTTACTAATCTTAGGAGGAACGCGTCGTCTGATCAGTTTTTCCCTCCCGCTCCGGATCTGTGTCCATGTGGATTTCTCGTTTAAATACGTTTTTCTAAGTAAAATATTTTTTATTTTGAAAAATTGATAAGTAACATGATATTAGACTAGACTGTAAAATATTAACTCACTGGATAAGCCTTAGCTTCATCATCGAATTTTTGTGGTCCTGACATTGAAGCAATTTTCGAAAGTTTGATACATCTCTTTTCGCTATTGCGTGAGCGCGATAGTCATGGATCGGCGTAAATTCACCTTCCTGTTGACGTTATACCAAAATCCAATTTTGATTTAGTGTGTTTATATTTACAAACACTGTTATAAACTCTCGTACTATTATGTACACAAATCACTATTACTCATTCTCGTACTTTTATATTTAACAAACACTGTTATATACTCTCGTACTATTATGTACACAAATCTATTACTCATTCCGTACTATTATATTTACACAAACACTGTCATATATCTCGTACTATTATGTTTACACAAATACTATTACTCATTACTAGTACTTTCATATTTACATAACACTGTATATACTCTCGTACTATTATGTACACAAATACTATTAACTCATTCTCGTACTATTATATTTACAACACTGTCATATACTCTCGTACTATTATGTACACAAATACTATTACTCTATCTTTGTACTATTATATTTACAAACACTGTTATATAGTCTCGTACTATTATGTACACAAATACTATTACTCATTCTCGTACTATTATATTTCAAACACTGTATATACTCTCGTACTATTATGTACACAAATACTATTACTCATTCTCGTACTATTATATTTACAAACACTGTCATATACTCTCGTACTATTATGTACACAAATACTATTACTCATTTTCGTATTATTATATTTACAAACTCTGTCATGTACTCTCGTACTATTATGTACACAAATACTATTACTCATTCTCGTACTATTATATTTACAAACACTGTTATATACTCTCGTACTATTATGTACACAAATACTATTTCTCTTATATTTCGTATTTTTATTTACAAACACTGTTATATACTCTCGTACTATTATGTACACAATACTATTACTCATTCTCGTACTATTATATTTTACAAACCCTGTTATATACTCTCGTACTATTATGTACACAAATACTATTACACATTCTCGTACTATTATATTTACAAACACTGTTATATACCTCGTACTATTATGTACACAAATACTAATTACTCATTCTCGTACTATTATATTTACAAACACTGTTATATACTCTCGTACTATTATGTACACAAATACTATTACTCATTCTCGTACTATTATATTTACAAACACTGTTATATACTCTCGTACTATTATGTACACAAATACTATTACTCATTCTCGTACTATTATATTTACAAACACTGTTATATACTCTCGTACTATTATGTACACAAATACTATTACTCATTCTCGTACTATTATATTTACAAACACTGTTATATACTCTCGTACTATTATGTACACAAATACTATTACTCATTCTCGTACTATTATATTTACAAACACTGTTATATACTCTCGTACTATTATGTACACAAATACTATTACTCATTCTCGTACTATTGTATTTACAAACACTGTTATATACTCTCGTACTATTATGTACACAAACACTATTACTCATTCTCGTACTATTATATTTACAAACACTGTTATATACTCTCGTACTATTATGTACACAAATACTATTACTCATTC